AATAAACCCCAGTGTCTTTGATTATGGACTCGTTTGAAGTTTGGTGTTCTGTGGTGGGTGAACAAATACACTGGCGCACTATGCAACTTTTCAGGAGTTCACCACTTTTTTGCCTACATGAAGAGATCAGGCATTAACATATCTTGCATTTATTCAATTATGTGTGTTATGGTTGCTCAGAAAATCTTTGAAAACAAATTTCTTACTGTGAGAGGGGTTGGTGTGAAAAACGTTTAAGGCCATACTGCAGAAAATTTTAGGAAAAGCAACATCTCCATTTAGACAAGCAGGTGGCCGACCTTCCACCATAATAATGCACCTTTAACGTTAAATAATTCCATTCAAAATGGTAATCCATTTAAACAAGGCTGTTCTGATAATAAAACAAGGTGTGCAACTAGCAGAAAAGTGATTATTTAATAGTGCTCTGCAATATTTCCCAGGCAGGGCTTTTACAAGTAGTGGTCACCATTTTTACTTGCCCAACACCCAGATCTACTTGCCCAGAAAAACAAAATAGTTTATCAATTAATGATTATGATTATTATTATTATTACATTTTTAAATAAATACATGAAAATAGAATAGAAAGTAATGTGATTATTTGTGATGTATAGGTTGTTTTGTGTGTGTTTTTATTATTATTATTTTATTTATTTACTTATTTTATCAAAATGTTTTATTGTTTTCAAAATATCAGATATATACATATATACATCCAATCCAATACATATATACATCCAAGTGGCAGGTAATGAAGAGTCCCCCACCAGAACAGATCCACATGTAAAATGTCTCAAAAAATAACAATAGATTAAAAACAACAACAACAACAAACAAACCCCAAACACCCACCCACCCTGTCACCGCATGGGTAGAATATTTATACCAGATGCTGAAATGTATTCACATGTATACCACAACCTATTCTTTTTAAAGAGCTGAATACAACTCCAGGAAAAGGCCCCATGTTTTCTCAGATTTTTTCTATCTTTAGTCAGGATATGACATTTTGTAACCGCTGTGAATGTGAAGGAGGGTTAGCGTCTTTCCACTTGAATAAAATGGCTTGGCGTGCCATAAGTAAAGTAAAAGCTAAAGAAGATTTTTTTGTAGCACTACAATGTACATGATCATTCAAACCACAAAAAAGTGCCAATACAGGGTTTGGTTCCAACCTAATATTGAATACCTGGGATTAAAAAGTGTTAAAAATGTCCCACCGGTAGGTTTGCAGACATGAGCATCACTAAAACATGTGGCTGAGGAGAAGCCATCTTGCTTCTGGCCCATCAGCTTCTCATATGCTCCTCTGGATTGTGCTTCATGTTTCCTTCCATAACTATAAATAGTACATATGCCATACATGAAAAGGAAATTCTTATTTAGTGCTGGATGTGTAAATCAGTCAAGTGATTTATTTTTTTATTTTTTTTGTCTTTAACATAACCCCTATACTTAGTTCTACTCCTGCATAACCCTTCCCCTACCCTATAATTAACACTGACCCTTCAGGGCTGTCCCGACATGAATTAGCTATGAAAAAAGTAAAAGAAATGTAACTGAAGAACAGTGTGTGCAATTGTTGTCCAGGCACACACCCAAAATTTTACTCTCTGTCTTACCCTAAATCAAACTGTAAATACTTGTAGCAGCTGTGGTGAATCTACATGCTTCTGGGTAGCATATGGCTTTGACCAAGTTCTTGGATGGTTGCTGAGGGTTGGTCTTAAGAACTCTTTTTAGCTTACAGGCAGTTTTGCATCCAGCTCTTTGCCTAAACCAAATCCTGTTTGCACTCTGACCTCGAGTTGCCCTCTCCACAGCCTGGACCTGGGGAGAGGGTGAGCTCTTCAGGCTCAAGTCCTGACATAGCTCTCCAAGTTCTTTGGGTGGTAGCTGCAGAGTCGGTGGTGTTCTGTACTCAACAAGTGTTTTTGGAAGTATGCTAGATTTGGGGATAAATTCTGTGTGATAAGGCTCCCAAGCCATCAGTGCTGCACTCCTTGGAAGGTTTTTGCTCAAGTTCTCAAAAAGAAAAAACTCCAATATGTTTCCGACCCTCTTTTCCACTATTGGGCATGGTTGTAATTTCTCTACCTTGTTTCCAGATGACCTGCCTTCACTGGAACAGCAAGTTTTTAGTTTTTTTTTTTTATTTTGCTGAGGAGAAATCAATCAGAGAGACTGGAGCAGCAGCAATCTGAAAAAGTTAACCCAAACAAGATTTCTGTGATTCATAATGTATTTAGATGTAGTTTAAATTTGGCATTTATCAAATGGACAACAGGTAATCAGGACTGAACCAGGACTGAACCAGGACTAAACCAGAACTGAACCAAGTCTAAACCAGGACTAAGCCAGGACTTGAGAGCAACAGAAACCCCCGAGCTCGTGGAGCAGGGTGTCTGCAAAGTGTAATCAGGCGATGGCTGCGTTTAGCTCCGCGCCACGGAGCTTGAGCCGGTTCTTTCGCTTGCGGTCACCTGACAGTCTACTCGGGCGCACCTCTGGGCTCATCCTGACCAAGGATCTATTTAAATAACCCGACACTCAGTCCTGGTTCAGTTCCGGTTTAGTCACGGTTTAGTCCCAGTTTAGTCCTGGTCCCCTCATGTTGCAGGTCACTATAGGATAGTACTAGAGATATCACAGGTTGTTGTACTCCTGCGTACCATGCCCACTACACCCCTGAGTGTCACCCTACCTTCTTTACATATGATGGCATCAGCAGCTTGCACTGTTCCGATGTGCAGGAAACATGCATCTTTACCCCAGCTTCAACAGAAAAAAGAACTGCTCTTACATGTGAGCATGATTCTGACAGTCTGTGAGTAAAGTACAATAATATCATTTTTTACACCTCAAAATGCAATTTAAACTCATGACAATGTACAGTAAATATCAGTGATGTGCATTATAGCCCACTATAATGGCAAGTAGCCGTACTGCTACATACCCTGCTATGCAGTTGCAATGAGCTGCAATGACTTCTCCATCCTCCTTTGCAATAATCCACATCTTTAGGGGTGTTTCATTTGATCTCTGAGAGTGCTTTACCTAAACATAAACGAATCATTAACGGCTAACGGCGTTTGTTGACATTAAATAGTTCAGATAGATCGAGTTTTTTCCATAAGGGTATATACACATAAAATAAGAGAAACACTCACACTGGTGAACGACAAACGGTAATCATCACGTAGGCATTTAACCTTAAGAAGAGAGATGCATTGTACATTTCCACCTGTCATCCCTGAGCAGGTTCATTGATTGTCTTTAACTGACCTTGATTATCAACTGTTCTGGAGACCTGTAGCATGTTTTGGGTTGATGGGGGAAACCAGAGCACCCGGAGGAAACCCATCCAGACACGGGGAGAAACATGCAAACTCCACACAGAAAGGCCCGGGCGACCTGGGGATCAAACTCAGAAGCTTCTTGCTGTGAGGCATGAGTGCTAGCCACTCAGCCACCATGCCACCCATCTGCTAGCAGAATCTTGACAAGGCTTTGCTTAGTGATGAAAATTCTAAGAAAAAAGGATGAATCTCTTTATAACCAGGAACTTAAAATAGGTTGAGTTTATACTATATTGTTCTGAATGTTTAACTGTTCTCTCCTTTTCCAGTCTTTAGATAACACTATCCACTATCCACTTCACTTTTTACAGGTGTTCCATATAAATTAGTATCAGGGTGCTCATGCAAGGCCATAGGTTCACCCTTTTAAAGGTTTAGTCATAATCCTGATGCTTTAGAGATTATTTCTACTTTGTTGTTTGCTGTAGGAATCTGTCTGGAATCTTCATTTTTTTAGAGAAATGTGTCATCAGTTAATTGAGTAATGTACAAAGATTTACCTAACACATTTAAAGGTTCCAAATCAGAGCTGCTTTTTATATATATTGATAATAATTCTGAAATCAGAATGAAAAGATATGGGGCCCGATTTTGCCCCCAATCTTAGCACTAAACGCAAGTGTGAATGAGCAGCTTTTGTACAGATCCAGACCAAACCAAACTATAGAGCAGAGCTGAGTCGATACAGGGAGCGGGCGCGGGGCTGTGCTCTGCTGCGGGAGGGCATCCGGATGACTCCCACACAGCACACAAACATGTTATGAATGTTAAACATTTATCATCCTAATAGATTTCCAAATAAAAGAAACCTTGAGCATGTTACATGTTGTTTTTCAGTGGACTAGTTTAATATTTACTTTTACGATTCTGGCACTTCACTGGACGCGTCACACCTGCCCTCAGTCTGCTCCACATGATACTCAGACACAGCACACTGACTGTGTAGAGCTCCACGCCCCACACTTGCACTAAGTGCTACATTTGGGGGCAAGATCAGGCCCATAATGTTTAAATTGATGTACTCTTTCCAAATTCTGATCATAAAACTTTAATTTAAATTCATTTTTGATTCTTTTCCTTGTAAAAAAACAAACAAACAAAAAACATAGTTTTTCTTTTATCAACAGAGAACTTGAAGCCCCAGTTATTGGACCTTTCACCTCCAAACCCCACACAAGATTGGAGCAACAGAAGATTCACATAGAAACAGTGTGGGCCATAATGAACAAACTTTATGGAGTTTCAGAGATTGTGGATTATTGTTCCACACCGGGATGAACACATTGTCAAAGGCAGAAGAAAGTGAGTCTTTTACTGGATATACAAAGCTCCAGGCTGACGACAGTAGAGGATTTCTGCAGCTGAAAGGGTTAGCAGCTAATCAAGCTATGACTTAATTAAGCAATGAATGTATTTGTACACTGATATTGTTTTTTTTTATTTGGTTTTATTTAAATGATTCAGCCATTGTATCATAATGATTCAAAAACTGTACTGTTTTGTCAATTAGCATGAAATAGTCTATTAATGAGGCAGAGAGTAGACTGAAGAGAAACGATCCCAAATGCTTTCTGCTAAACAATGTTCTCTGCTTAGAAATACAGATTGAGGAAAATAAAATCACAAATTAAAGTTAGATCAATGATTTTTGTGTTTATTACACTGACATGAGTTATTTAGCAGCTATGTGGCTACAACAACTGAACATGAATAATTTCATCAGTTTCACATCATTTAAACTGTCAGTATCAGTAAACATTATAGGCACAGGGCTTTATAAAATAAAGTCTATTTTTCACAAGCATCTCCAAGGACCTTTTTTGATGGTAGAAGAAAGTGCAAAGTAAACCAAGTGTCCAGATACTGAGTTAAGGGGAAAACTAGATCTATTCTCTTTAATATCACCCCTGTGCCAGGTTGGGGTCACTCATGTTTAATCTGCTCAGTTTTAAGATAAATCATTGTCTGCAATGTCATTTAAAGATATAAGAAAAAAAAAAACTCCAAAAGAGACTTGGCATTCATTACCCATAATCCACCACTGCCAACGTGGCATCCCTGTCACACAGTCGTACGGGGCAGGCGCTTTGTGACTGAATGACGCACTCACTTTGAGGAGGTGCATTTTCAACAGTTTGCTGCAGTAAGAGGCACATGATTCCCCTCTCTCTTCTCACTGGCTGCTGTTGAAGGTGTGTCTGTAGAAGACTTTGGCATTGGCTGAGTAGTCCATTGTGATGGAGGACCCCAGGGCCTGAGCACCCAAACTCGCCCCGCCCAGAGCTGAGGAGTGCTGCAAGGTCAGGAGGCTGTAACCATGGAAACGACCTCTGAACTGCTCCCATGCTGCCGCGTCACACAACACCTCAGTGAAACCTGAGACAGAGGAGGAGTCAAGTTCACGTACTCTGGTTAGCAATACTGTTCTGATAGTATTCACTGTACATGTTCATTCTGGCACGGAGGAAAATCTACATTTAACCACAGACAAAAATATGATGCAAAATATGATACAAGGGCTCAGACAAAAACAGATGACTCAGGTCCATGTGACATCAGGTGACATCAGGATAAAGACACTGGTTTATTTAAGAGGAGCTTAGACACTTTTAATGAAGGTAAAATAATGATTTTTAGGTTTGACTGGACAATTTAAAAAATTTTGAGCCCACAATTGCTTTTTACCTCATTTTATTCACAAACATTTTACACACAAATTGATACTTTCTATGAATATACCAGACATTTTTACCCTGTAAACAAAAACATATTTGTTGTAAAACAAAACAAAAACAAAAAAAGTTAGCAGTTCATTTTTGATTGTGTTGTAGTCGACTTCATTTTGTCTCCATTCAGGCAATCTGAACATGTTGGGTTCAGTATGAACAAAGTCAAACTGAGCTGGAGATCACACTATGACAGAATTTGCCCGTTAACTATGAAATGTCTAAAGTTTAGAGATCGTCTGCCCCAGGGCAGCTGTGGCCACAACAGTATGTCACCACCACAGAGTGTGGAGTGTAGTAGTAGTAGTAGTAGTAGTAGTAGTAGTAGCAGTAGCAGTAGTAGCAGTAGCAGTACCTGGTCTGAGCAGCTCCCAGCTCTTCCACACTGAGCCCTCACACAGGATGGGCAGCCCCAGAGCACCAGTCAGCAGACTCTGTCACAACAGCACAGGGAGATTCAAGTACAGCAGCTTCAAAAGAATATTACTCAAGAAAAGAACAGAAGTACTGGACCAAGAAATTACTCAAGAGTAAAAATGTTATCAGGGAAAACAAACTGACTTTAGAGAGACAGAGATTTAGTAGATTAGTAGTAGTAGTACCCACCTCTGTGCATGAAAATATGCACAACACAACCTGTACCATTATTGTGCTTTATTCATAATATAATGGTCTGTTGTGCATAAAAAGAATTTGAGGTTTTGCTTGTTTACAGTGTCATCTAGTGGGCAGTTGTAGTGTTACAGACAGACCACATGTTCTGAAAAATGAGGTTAGGCCCTGTCTATCTTTGGGATATGTAATCAAATGTGAAATGGGAGGGTGGTTCAGTTGACGATTGTTAGTTATAAGATAACATGTGAAATGTATGTCATCAAGTATGCTTATCTGTGACATGATTTTCAATAAAAGTGTGACTTGGAGAGTTGTTGAGCAGAGTCGGTCAGGGAGCTGACAGACAGTGGGCACGACTCTCCTTGCGCAAGTATAAATTTTAACCGTCTCTTTCTGGTGTGTCTTTATTTAATGTCATTTGATGTCTTAGGGTAGAATTCCCTGACACACTATAACACATTCTGAAGTACGATATATTGCTTAAGTAAGAATTGATGATAAATGATAATCTTGAAACCAAACCATAAATCAGAATTACAGTTGAAAACGCTGAGGCACTCAAAAAGTACAAAAAATTGAAAGACTTCATTACCACATGGCAGATAAAGTTAAAACCACGTGTTTCGACCCTTTGGCCTTCATCAGGGCAAAATGTATTATTTTGAACTAAGAGCACCAAAAGGACAGTTTATCTCTACACATCCAAGTAGCACTCCTGCCCCCTAAAGGTTTGCATAAATCAGAATTATCCCCAAAAAAGTATTCTAAACACAGAATAGTGTTAAAAATATGAGCTGCAATAAATAAAGAATAAAAGGCAATGCTTGAGTAATTAGTTTGTATCTATGAGTCATAGAAGTTCTACAGTTCAAATCGAAATTGTGGCACAGAAAATAATTAACATTTTGCCACTAGAGCAAAGGGGTCCCCGTGATGAATATTGAGCCCAAAATAACTGTTCTATTGAATGATACATCAATATAATCATCATCACCACAAGCCTAAATGAGAACTGAATAAGGGACAAGAGAGGTCTGTTTCACAAAGCACGTTCAGTTAACTCTAATGAATCTCTCTTAAACTTGAGGCTTGTTAACAAAGTCTGAGTTTAGACTAAATCAGTTTCTTGAAGCAGTGTCATTGTGACCAGCTGGTAGAGTGTTTGTCCACTGATCTGAAGGCTGGCGCTCTTGACATAAACATCACTGATAGAGCAGTCAGATCCACTGACCCACAGGTTGGCGGTGCGATCCCAGCTCCCACAGTTGTGATATTGGGCAAGACACTTCACCCACCTGTGTCTGTGTGCTCTGGCACATGAATGTGTGTGTTTGGTAAAGAATGTCCCATCTCACCTCAGCTGCTGCAGGCAGGACGGCCACCACGTGTTTGGCCAGGACCCTCCCCGCCTCCAAGAACAAGTGTTTACAGAGGGCATCGCCCGCCAGGGCACCTGCACACACACATACACACATACACACATGTGTTTACAGAGGGCATCGCCCGCCAGGGCACCTGCACACACACATACACACATACACACATGTGTTTACAGAGGGCATCGCCCGCCAGGGCACCTGCACACACACACACATACACACATACACACGTGTTTACAGAGGGCATCGCCCGCCAGGGCACCTGCCCACACACACATACACACACACACGTGTTTACAAAGGGGTCAGTCCAAATGAAATCAGCCATTTTCAAGGAATCTCCCCAATGAGCCATCTCAGAGTTGACTGAATTTTTTTTTTTTTTTTTTTCTAAAATGACCAAATGAAAGAATCTAAAGTTTTAGCTGAATCCCTTGAGTCATTTCTGAGTTATGCCTGTTGAAATGTTGGGGCCATGCCCACTTTTTTGGAAGTCTTAATTTATAAGCATGTTTGAGAGACCATCATCAGAGACCTTCATAAAAAACTGAGCTAGAAAGCTGGTCATAGATTGTGAATCTGTTGTCAAATATTGGGTATCTTTATTAAGGGGGGGTGCTGTAGGCCCCCAAAAGCTCACATTTGATTGCCGCTCATTTTTTATTTTTTTCAATTTTTGAGATCCAAGTTCTATTTACTCCAAGCAGATATTTACAAACTAACTGTTGAACCTGTATATTTGAGAGAATGACCATTTCTGACAACAATCTCACACTTCTGAGCTTTCATGTGGATGGTGTAGAGCCCATAATGCCCAAATGTAGAGCCCAAATATGGTCACAGACCGAATGTGATCTTTTTGGCCCCTTCTTTGGACCCCAATGGGAGATTATTGGTGGTACATTGCTTGTGATGGTTAGGGTTATGGTTAGGGTTAGGCTGCAAGGACCAGTCTTCAGACAACTGACAGCAATCAAATATTGACTGCACTCCAGATGTTTGAGTGAGCTTCACAAAACATAAAGAATGTAAAGTTTTTCTTTACAAGCTCTAAAGACATTACAAACCATGAACTTACTTTCAAACTAGAAGAGCTACAGCAAGACAAAGACTGTGAATGGTGCTAGATCACACCACAGTTTCATTCTGGTATCAAATGGTAAATTAGAAATGAGGAGAATATCTCAAGATCATTTATGTCCTGAAAATGACATTGTGCAGATTTGTCTCTGTACCAGCAGGTCAATACAGAGCATGTATTTATGACATCAGGTGGTTCATTGGAAGTGTTCAGGTGAACATGGTGATGTCTATGTGAGATTCATGAATAGAGACGACAGAACCCTCATCTGTCCTCCTGAACATCGGCAGAACCATGTTGGGTCCCATTTCAGCACAGAATCTGTTGTATTAAAGTATAAGAAGTTCAGAGCAGAAGAGCACAAAATTATTGCCTTGACCCTGCAAATTATGACAGGATCCAAACATTACTTCTGAAGTTCATTAGTAGTTAGAAATACTTAGTGTGCAAGATTCCAACACAGATGATCTACATGGAGGTGGCAAAGGCACCAGAATGGGCAGATTTTTTCCAGTATGTTGGTTTTCACACTGAATTTTTAAAATCAAATTTCTATCAGTTGAACAAATAACAGACCACATTACTGTATTTTTGGTAACTTTTGTGTCAGTATCAAATTTTCCTTGTTAATGTTACTGCCTTCTTGTAATATTTTGGTGCAAAAATAATATACATATGGTGATACTGAAAGCCATGGTTATAGAATCAGAGACTTTGTGATTTAACAGGCAATGAGTTTTCCAGATGTAATTTGCAGTTTTGAATCAGTTTCCATCAATACTATCTTAACTTTTTTTGTTTTACTTATACACCATGAAAAGCTGTTTCTGTGTGAAATAACAAATTATATTCCTCAAATCAAAATAGAATAAATAATGCAAAGAAACCTTTTTTCATTATTTTGTACAGAGTTAATAGTTGAATTTTCTCAAAGGATTAATGACACTTTCCCAAACAATGTACCACAAATAATCTCCAGTTGTCTTCCCTTATAACAAGCAAATAGTGTTTAAGTCTATTAAAAGTAACTGAACCTTTCTAACAGGTGGAAAAATCCCTAAGCTCCACCAAAAATCACCTGTGAGAGCTTATTTTCCAAAATTCCATTTGAAATGAAGGAAGTTAATAGTAGATGTTTTTATTACTTTAAACTAATCAGAATATGCCAAAGTTTCTCTGGTAAAAATTTATCAACATCTAACTGTGCCCACATGGGAAACCGAGACTCCAAGGAAGGGGCTAAAAAGATCACCATCCACATGAACGCTCAGAAAAGTGTGAGATTGTTGTCAGAAATGGTCATTCTCTCAAATATTCAGGTTCAACAGTTTAGCGGCAGCCAAATGTGAGATTTTGAGGGCCTACAGCACCCCCCCTTAATAAAGATACCCAATATTTGACAACAGATTCAGAATCTCTGACAAAGAATCTACTATAATACACATTTTCAGCATCCTAGTTCTATTTTTTATGAAGTTATGGTCTCAAACACACACACGTGCACACATTGGGTTTCCCAATATATGTGTGTGTGTTTGCTTTTTGTGGAAGTCTTGTTTGATTGGTTTGCGTTAGAACAAGCTCAATCTAAAAGTGTATCACTGCTGTAAGTGGACCATATTGGTTCATTTGAGGTTCTGAAGCGGACCCTGGGGAGTAGTGGTCTGCTCCATTTCAGTAATAAAAAAAAAAAATAACATTAATAAAATGTTTTACTGTAAATATCACTGCTGTTGCTTTAAACAAATTTTAATCCTTGATTTATTTGTAGTTCTACAGAATTTGTGCCGTGCTGTCCGCTGTTCTTGTACCACTGAGCAAGACACCAGCCATGCCTAAAACGTCCATGTATGCTGGTCAGTGACTGTACATGTAAGTGTGTGTTTTGACACCAACCTTCAGACAGTTTCTTGCAGAAACCAGCGAAAAAAGACTTCTGGAAGTTTGTGTAGAGGTGTGGTAACATGCCCATCAGATCGCTCACCTGGACACAGCACCTGAGATTTTCACCCTGAACCAATTGGAAACAACTAAACTTTTGAGAAGCTCACCTTAAAATATTCCTCCATGGCCCTCTGCACATGTGTGACATCATGAGGGGGCGGGGCTAGGTTGTCTTTGGCATCAAACACAGTCTTCACGGCCAGATGTGAAATCCAGTATGCTTAAGGCAAAAGTACAAAGAAACCTGGATTATTTCATTAAATCTGTGTACAAGTGTAACTGAAACTGTGCAATATATCATTTCAGATTTTGACTTTTAAACATTACACGAGAGGGTTTACATTTAGTCGACTGACATCAGCACATAGAAGCCCTCTATTCTGACCTGAGATGAGACAGGTCAGGGGCCTCATTTATCTAAAAAAAAACTGCGCAGGAGCTGTCGTAAGTTAGTGCATATGCCTAGTAGCCACGAGAGGCGTGCGCCACACAAACTCCAAATTTAGAAAACCCACCGCACGCACTAAACTTTGCTTTATAGATCCCACCTGCAACTAGAATTTGCACGCATAAACCCACGTCACGTCACCTCCACCTCACCATAAAAGGAGCATGTAAAGTGACTGGTGAATGAGATTTCCCTAAACATGAGCCGATAATCAGTGGGTTTGAGTGAGACACGCGGGACAGAGGGAGGAGGACGCTCCACACAGCACCACACAGTCACGTCAAAGACTTTATTAAACAAGGTTTAATAAATAAATACAAAACTAAAAGTGACAATAATGACTCATCTGTTCATTTAATCATATTTCATAATATTTAGGCAGCACATCTTTACAGTAAAGCCGAATTGTTTTCTCACCCTTTAAGAGTTTTATCGCTACATGTTTAACTTTGTCTATAAAGTGTGTGGGGACTGGCCCTGTTTATGCACATATAATAGTAGATGCGTGCACGTGGGGGTGCACGTGGGGGTCTGAATGGTCAAATTATGAGAGCGTGCAAGAGATTCAGATGCCCTTCTGAAGGTAATTGTTTTATATATGTGGATTTTCTGTTAAGTTTCTGAACAAACTCTTCCTCAAACTGTCTTCACTTCTACTTCTCTCCACGAGTTCCGCTTTTTACTGCACTGGTGTTGACAGTTTATAGTTATATATATATATATATAGTACCCAGTTTATAGTTCATATCTCTGTAACTCGTGTCAGTTAAAAGGATTCTAAGCAATGAAATCAATATTTCCATTTGAGAGAAAACAAGATAAGGTTCCAAACACCGTACCCGGCAAAACTGAAAGTTTTCTATGAGGGTGACACGAGGATCTACGCATCTGCAGCGGACGCGACAAAAGACATGGCCAGACGGGGTTTACCTGTAACAGTTCTGAAGCCCGCCGCATCCTGGGCAGACAAGATCAGAGACACGATGTGGCAGAGAGCGGGACGAGCGGAAGACGAGAGGAGCGGCGAGGGACCCAAGGCTGGATACCAGAAAAAACTAGAGGCTTTCCGGAGGGAATAAGAAAAACTGTGTCCACATCGACGTGACAAATTTCTCACATTAAGAGGGAGGAGTGAGAGGAATATTCTTTTGTTTTTAAGAGGAAATATCGGGGACTACGGGATAACAGTGCGATGCACTGCACCAAACAGGTACCGCCACCAGAGGGCCCCTCGCGACCTCCAGGTTGTGAGGGCTTTCCCTCTAATTTGCTCATGACTCATCTCAACACCAACCGTGTGGTCTTCACAGAGACCACCGAGAAGGAAGTCACTTTAAGGTGGACACAAGTTAATGTGATGGAAAAAGTTCAATTGTTCAAACTGTTCATTGTTATCTTATGTTCGAGTAGCACAGGGAATCATTTATTAAGAGATGTTAGTTAAAATATATGCAAAAATGGCTTCTCCAGCTCTTTTACGTATTTGTACATATAATATAAAGGGAGTGTTGAATCCAATCAAAAGAACCAAGATACTGGGGAAAATGAAAAAAGAAAATGTAGATGTGGTATTCTTACAAGAGACCCATTTATCAGATAAAGAACACGAGAAATTGAGGCGGCAAGGTTTTTGTCAGGTATTCTACGCATCACATAGATCTGGGCGTAAAAGAGGAGTAGCTACGTTAATTTCCAACAAGGTTGCTTTTGAAAAACTGTCTGAATATACAGATAAAGAGGGTCGATATAGCATGATAATTGGTAAACTTGATGGCTTAGATGTCACCCTCTTCAATGTTTACACACCTCCAGGTTCACAATGGTATTTCTATAAGCGTATATTGGATTTGATGATAACCAAAACACAAGGTGTCATGATTTGTGGAGGAGATTTTAATGTAAGACTAAAACCTTTACTGAACTCCTCGGCACAAATCTCACACAACAACATAGGGAAGAAAATCGGAAAATTCATGAGGGAAATGGGAATATCTGACGTGTGGCGTGAATATCACCCACAACAAAAAGATTATACATTTTACTCCGCAACCCATCGTACCTACTCAAGACTTGACTATTTCTTTATGTTTAAAAAGGATATAGAAAGGGTAAAAGAATGTCATTTTGGATCAATGGACCTCTCGGACCATAGCCCTATGAAAATTTGCACCGACAAGACAAAAGCACCATTCCTCTGGAGACTAAATTCAAGTATACTCAAAGGGGAAATTAAGGAAGAAATAAAAGAAGAGATCAGGAGATATATTGAAGATAATGATAAGGACAATGTTTCTCCAGAAATATTGTGGGATGCGTGTAAAGCGGTTCTGAGGGGTAAATTGATTGCAAAAGCCACATTACTGAAAAGAAAACGCCAAGAAAAAATTAGAAATTTGGAACTACAACTAAGTGTATTGGAAGACCAACATAAATTAAAACAAGATGATGATGCTTTGCAGAAGATCAGGAAAATTAAAAAGGAAATAAACCAAGAACTAGAAATTCATATAAATAAAAAGCTCTTATATTTAAAACAAAACTATTATGAAGCAGGAAGTAAATCAGCCAAAACTCTAGCATATAGATTGAAAAAACAGCAAGCTGAAAGAGCCATATATAAAATAAGAAAACCATCAACGAAGGAAGTAATCTACGAACAGAAAGAAATTGGAGAGTGTTTTGCAAGGTATTATCAAAAGCTCTATTCCTTAAAACAACGGGATGAAAAAGATTTGACTAAAACATTGTTAGACAAACTAAAACTACCAATAATCTCAGAAGAACAAAATAGAACTTTAACAAAAACAATTACCGCTCAAGAATTAACAAAAGCGATAAAAAGACTAAAACTACACAAGTCCCCAGGCGCAGATGGATATAATGCGGATTGGTACAAAATTTACATAGAAGAACTCACACCTCTTCTTTTGAAAACATTCAATTGGGTTTTAAAGGGAGGTCAAATCCCCCCAACATGGAGAGAGACAGTAATTACAGTTATCCCGAAAGAGGGAAAAGACAAATTGGATTGTTCCAATTTCAGACCAATCAGCCTTTTGAACCAAGATTATAAAATCTTTACCTCAATAATGGCAAGAACCAGAACCAGACAGGATTTATCAAGGAAAGAAAGACAAGAGATAACATCAGACGGACGTTCCATGTGATTCACCAGATACAAAAAAAAAAAGCCCAAGCAGTAATTATGGGCCTAGACGCCCAGAAAGCATTTGACACCGTAGATTGGACATTTCTGTATCGGGTACTTTCTCGCTTTAATTTTTCTGAAAAATTTATAAAAATAATTCAAGGCCTATACAACAAACCCACTGGGAAAATCTGAATAAATGGTGGCCTAACAGACCCCATAAAAATCGAACAAGGCTGTAGACAGGGCTGCCATTTGTCACCAATTCTGTTTGCAATATTCATTGAGCCTTTAGCGCAGTGGATAAGGCAAAATACAAAAATAAAAGGCATCACGGTGAATGGCATGGAACAAAAGATTGCACTATTTGCAGATGACATTCTAATTTACTTAACAAAACCAGCAGAATCAATTCCAGAGCTATATAAAACTCTAATGGACTATGGGAAATCAATATTTCCAGTTTGTGGAGGCAATATCTAATCACTAACAATGATAAGGTTGAACATTTATGGATTTTTTTTTTATTTCTTGACTAAATCAGTTATCTGAGTCTAAAACTAAATACTGTAGCCACCTTGTTCCTGCTTGTGATTAAGTCATTAAGTGGCAGTTTTAAAGTTAACAGCTACTTGTAGTCTTCAATACACTAGAATAATCTTAAGTTAATGCTATTTTTGCCTTAAAAATGTTTTTATTTGAACTTTTATTCAGTTGAGATTACCACAGAAAGTCTCCAATATCCATGAAGTGAAGTCATTTCAACAAGGTTGATTCTAGTGAAGGGGTATGGAGTTCAAAACATTGGAGCACTTCTTGTATTACCATATCCCAAGAAGAAGTCAGCCTAAATGTGCAGGGTTTGTGTGTTAAACATTTGTGAATGAAACAAAACACATGAAATGAGCGTAATATAGGCCTTTTAAATATATGTTTCATTGAGTTGGTACGTTGCTTGTACTGAGAGAAACAGTAGTATGTATAAATCCGTCACAGTAGAAGTATGGAGAAGAGAGAGTACCTGAGCCCTCGTCACCCATCATGTGACCCCAGCCTCCACAGCCCACCGTAGCACCGCCTGGGTTCACCAGCTTACAGTTTGAGCCAGTGCCAGAGATGAGCACCACACCCCCTGCACACACAAACAAACACACAAACATACACACATGCATCAGGTTACCGGGTCATCACATGAATGTACAACAACAAACACAAGTTTGGACACACTTTTTCATTTAATTTTTCTTCTTTATCGCCAGAACTATTTGCACTGTAGATTCTGACACAAGGCATTCAAATTATGAATAACCCAAATGGAATGTAGCAAACTTAATATAACTCCAAACTTTAGATTTAGATTTGAAAGTTTGTTTTAGATTTGAAAAAAACAATAGCCACTCTTTGCTTTGAACCCTGGTTTGGAGTTGTGACTGTGAAAACCATTTCAGGAGACTTCATCATGAAGCTCTTTGAGAGACGGCCAAGGGTTTGCAGTGCTGTCGATAAAGCAAAGGGTGGATAGTCAGAGGATTTGCATATGAAGTATACTAAACACTTATAAAGGATAAAATTTGTTAGTTATTTAACTTGCCACCTGCAATCTCTGCCTCATTACAGGCAGCAAATAGGAGTGTGGGGAAAAATTATATATGGGTGCAATAAAACAGCTCTCAAGCCCCACGATGCAAGAACACACCAGTAGAGGCGCCAGGAATATCAAATTTTGTAAGCCCATGCATGCGCACACACAGTAACCTTTTTAGTTTTCTCTGTTTTCCTCATTTTGTTTGCCTCCCATTATGCAGTAGACCAGTCTCTATCTCACGCGCTCCCCATCTCACAGCACACCCTCTGAACGCTGCTCTCCCCAACAGACTCACCTGAGGTACCAGAGTCCAGCGCTGCTACTGTCTGTCTGTAAAGAGCAGTGCTCATGTGCACTGTACGTCTCTTGGCTCTACTGACAGAGCAGCACATATCAGACGCGAGTCTGTGCGCACGATCTCTGTCACCAGTCGCTCCGCGGCTCGGTGCACTTTTCTAGGGTTCTGATGATTGCCTACCAACTGGCAACTAATTTTATAAACAAACCAAAGAGGCACAGTGGGAATAATTTGGTCACAAAATTAAATGGAGCTGATGACAGAAAGGGTATGAGGATGTGAGGAAATCGACATCACAGCTTTGGGACCGCAGACAGAGTAAGAAAACACACCTTAGGACAGCACTGTAAACGGCCTCATGTGAATGAGCAGCTTTTGTACAGATCCAGATCAAACCAAACTACAGAGCAGAGCTGAGCCGATACAGGGAGCGGGCGAGGGGCTGTGCTCTGCTGTAGGAGGGCATTCGGACGACTCCCACACAGCACACAAACATGTTATGTTAAGCATTTATCATCCTAATAGATTTTCAAATAAAAGAGGCCTTGAGCATGTTACACGTTGTTTTTCAGTGGACTCATTTAATATTTATTTTTACGATTCTGCCACACCTGCCCTTAGTCTGCTCCAGTCCACCTGATATCCAGGCAAGGCGCATCAACTGTTTAGAACTCCACGCCAAGATCGGGCTGAGATCCACGTCAAGATCAGGCCCCATATATTAGACCATATATGTGAAGTAGTAAAGAAAAAAAAAAACCATAACATACACGACATAACTGGTCGTGTACATTCATTTCTAAGAGACTGATCCATACCTTAAAGTGCATGTTGTGCAGTTATGCTACTTGTTTCACCAAAACAGTTTTTAGTGAAACAAGTTTAGTTTTAGTTTATGTCAAAATAAATAGAAAGTTATGTATCCAACTACACTTCTATGAATCCCGGATTAAAGCAGGAAATCTTCCCGTTGAACATGTGTAATGGGCTTTATTCACACTGACGTCACAAAACCAGAAGACATTTGGACACATGCCGATGACAACTTCTGGCAGGCTCTATACCAGGAATACTCACTGCACGGCTCGCCAAGCTTTAATTGGCGGCTCTCAAAAATAACAAAGCCAATATATTCTTTTAAAAGTGCTAGATAAACTTATAGTGAACACTGCAACACAAACACCTGCATTACACTAAGTATAAATCAAGGCTTAATCCATGTATAAACGACCTGTACCTGAACAACGTTTTCAACTAACCCACCCACAATGTGAAAATATTGTACCCGACCCGCTGCCTGACCCGCATTTTAAAAAGTAGTCCATGCTCTTGATTAACATCATCAAAATAAAAGGGCCAATATAAAGTGAGTGAAATGAAAAGTGAAAAGTGAGTTAAATAAAGACCTGCACACGTACGACCTGCGCTCGTACGTGTGCAGGTCGTACGAGCACGTCTGACTTCTGAAAGCATGAACCACCTCCAGCGTGATCCACACACAGAACAGACTCACCATCAGCAGAACATCCCTCTGTCACAGATGGAACACTCATATTCCACTGAGTTGTGTTATTTAGTTCGACAGAAGCTGAACCGCATCAGTGCACAAGGAAAGAACTGTTTTTATCAGAGCTTACAGTTTATGCAAATGAGCCATGTGGTTTTAAGTTTAGTTTCTGTAAAATGTAAACAAAAGTGTTGAGTTTATTTATGTAGATTAGTAATAGTAATAATAATAATGATCATTTTAATGTAAAAAAGTTATTTTTTTTTATAACTTTTAAAACATAACTTTAGAATTATATTAAATTTTAATATCTTTTATTTTTATAAAAAAAGGTGACTTGGTCTTTTGGTGTACGTTGGGTATAAGTGGCTCTCCTCTTGATTTTGCTCTTCCAATGTGGCTTTTGTGAAAAAATAGTGAGCATCGCTGCACTAGGGGCTGTAGTAACACTGTAGTAAGGCCCAGTTTTCTTCATCTAGATGTCATTATATTATTTATTTCTTGCTTTTATATTTTTGCTAATTAAATTTGTGCATTATAATTTGTGTAACTTAATTACAAAATAAATAAATAAATAAAAGGTAATTTTAGCATCCAGTTATGTTTTGGCAGTTCAAAGATGCGATTAAAGTCAGGTTCTCCATGGAAAACTTTGGCAGTTTGAAGACTGAAGCTGCTGAATCTAGGGTTATCACATACCCAGTGTCGGTAACGACACCGTAAGTCGTCATCCACATGTTTCCTAACTTCTTCTGGTAAGCGTGAGTAGAGCCTATACCAACTGAGTCACGTCTGTGACCCTACATGACGCCCCAGAGGTAAGTAAGTCTTTATTTATCTAGTGCTTTTCACAGACATATTTCACAAAGACACTTTACAGAGCATAATTCAGCATTATTCATTCACTCCAGATCCAGTGGTGGTTAAGCTACTCTTGTAGCCACAGCTGCCCTGGGGCAGATTGACAGAAGCGCGGCTGGCATGCCAATCAGTGCCATCGGTCCCTCTGACCACCACCATCACTCATTCACACACCACTTTCATACTAGGCAATGTGGGTTAAGTGTCTTGCCTAAGGACACAACAACAGTTTTTGTGACTGGCGCCCCACTGTGGCACCTGATTTTCCCAGTGGTCTCCCATCCAAGTACGAACCAGGCCCAGTCTTGTTTAGTTTCTGAGGATCAGACTTTTACAAGCCGATATGGCCAGGGTAATATAGTCCCTCATCATGTTCCTACAGAATCTTCTCACAAGAATCCAGCACAAGGATCCTGAGTGTCCTGGCGGTCATTTAGGATTCATAGAACCATAGTTACACAGGTAAATTTTGTTCTGTTTCACCCCTTCTGACCGCCAGAGGGCGGTGCTGAAAGCACTGAATGGCAAATCCCAGCTATGTTACGAAGAATCATGAGCACAGATCTCACTGAGAAGAGCCCAGAGATTCATGAAGAACCATGCCAAGATGATGAGGAGAGAAACACACTGACATTGTAGAACCTGGTAAATGTGGGTCTATAGTGCAATCCTAACAATACAAACTTAAATGATGGGAGAGGGTGTGCGAACGCACACTTCAAAAAGAACTGTTTAGCAGCATAGTGCATTAGCATACACTTAAAAGCCAAGGGTTAGGAGAGGGAACATAAAAGTTACCGCCACAAACAGCACTGCTACGACTGAGACGGTGAAAGAGTGACAGGAAAACAACACAAATTCTAGAATCTGGCTAATGCCATGTAGATTGAACCGAGAGGAGGAGCAGTCATGAATGACAAGGGACTATATTTCCTCTGGGGCGTCATCTGAGATCATAGGTGTGACTCAGTTGGTATTAATACTCAAAGTGCACATGTGTGAAGGGAACATTCAGTGTTCAGCTCCACCCTCGTGATCTGACAGTCAGGAGAGATGAAATAAAACTGCTGTGTACTGTCTGTTAGCATGTTGTTAGCAAAACTTTTATAAACTATCAGGGAGCATAATTATGATGCTCAGAATGTGTAAGGCAAGTGAAGAATAACTTTGAAGCACAGTAAACCGTTTAAGTTAAGTCTGTTTTTGACATGTATAGAGATCTTTTCACATCTGTTGCTAGGCAACCTCAAAGGCCAAAACTTGCACAGTAGTTATGATTAGACCAGTGGGGCCTGCACGGCCTTCTCTGCTGGCCTAAAAAAAATATCTGAATCACAGATTGATGTTAATTTTATTATTATTAATTAATTATTATTCTGTCCGCTTAATTTCAGAGCTTTTCCGATGCTTGTGCTGCTTCCACACGTGTATTTTCATATTAAAGCATTTGACCAATCACATTCAGCCATCATTTGTTGCAAGGCAGAGTCAAAGTCAAAGAAGTCTGCCTGAGGCTTTCACAATCTGTTCTGCAGACCCTCCAACACAAAATAAATGTCCATGAAACTGTTGCTTCAATCAATCAGATTTTGAGTTGGTATCACCAGACGTTTAGCAGCGAACGATGTCACTGGATTCAGACCCGTGTTTGGACAGAGAACACATCAGCCATCTGTAGCAGCTACGCGAATCGAAATGCTTTTTACTATGTATTACTATTATTAATTACCAGTGGTGTAGTGGGGATTTTTTAAGTGGGGGTACACGATTCGTGACCAGGACTAAACCAGGACTGAACCCTCACTTCTTCTTCGTGCTACTACTGAAGGCCTAGGTGTGAAATGCACGGTCTGCCACTGGATTAGACTATTATAAAGAACT